CTTGTAATCCCAAACTCACCAAAATCAAACACCACAAACACAGCCCTCACATTCTATGATCACTCGATCTCAAAGAGGAATCATTAAACCCAATCCAAAATATGCCTTGACTTCCTCCATATTCTCAGCCAACATCCCTCATGAACCTCATAACATACGAGCTACTCTAGCTCATCTGGGGTGGAAAGCAGCAATGGATGAAGAACTCGAAGCCTTTTATAAAAATCAAACCTGGAAGCTTGTTCCATGCACCTCGAACATGCATGTTATAGGCTCAAAATGGGTACTCAAACCCTATGGTTCATTGGATCGTCTTAAAGCTCGTGTTGTGGCAAAAGGGTATCATCAAGTGGGTGGTTTGGAGTACACTGAAACCTTCTCTCCAGTCATCAAACCTGGAACTATTTGAATGGTCATCACCATAGCTCTTGTTAAAAAATGGCCCATACGTCAACTTGACGTAAAAAATGCATTCCTTCATGGTTTAATTTTAGAAGACATATACATGGAATAACCTCCAAAACTGGCTGATCCCGAACATCCAAAACATGTGTGCAAGCTTCAAAAGGCTCTCTATGGTCTTAAACAAGCACCTCGTGCTTGATTTGATCGGTTTAGTGTTTTTCTTCTTAATTATGGATTTTTTTATAGCCTAATCGACCCATCTTTGTTTATTTTTCACTCTAACCTTGGAACACTAATCCTCCTTCTTTATGTAGATGATATACTCCTCACAAGATCCTCCATAACTCTAGTATCAACCTTCATTCAACTCTTGAGCTCTGAATTCACGATGAAGGACTTGGGCCAAATTCATCACTTCCTTGGCATCGAGATCTCTCAAACTTCTGATAGTCTTCACTTGTCCCAATCTCACTATGCTCTTACCATCCTTGAGAGAGCTAACATGGTCAATTGCAAGCCTATGAGCACACCTCTTGAAGTCAAAACCAATATCTCATCAAATAATATCTTGCTAGAAGATCCGAGTTATTTTAGAGGACTTGTTGGTGCTTTACAATACCTAACTCTCAGGAGACCATATCTTACATACAGTGTGAATTATGTTTCACAATTCATGCATGCTCCCACTATTGTGCATTTAAAAATGGTTCAAAGGATCCTAAGATATGTCAAAGGCACAATTGACATAGGTTTACATTTTACTTCCAATACAAAACTTGATCTTTGTGCTTTCTCTTATGCAGATTGGGCAGGGTGTCCCACCACAAGATGATCCACCATCGGATACTGTACGTTTCTTGGCAGCAATCTCATCTCCTGGTGTGCAAAAAAACAGTAAAAAATCTCTCAGTCGAGCACCGAAGCGGAATATCGACCCATGGCGAATACAGTAGCTGAACTCACATGGATGTCATTCATCCTTAAAGATCTTCACATTTCATTGGCATCTACACCAACTCTCTATTGCAATAACATAAGTGCTCTTCACAAGACAATAAATCCGGTGTTTCATGCTCGTAGCAAACACATTGAGTTGGATTACCATTTTTTGCGTGAACAAGTTGCACTTGGACTACTCATCACTCAACATATCTCCACTACAAAGCAAGTAGCAGACCTCTTCACCAAACCAATATCAAAGGCTGCACTCAGTAATTTTCGAACCAAACTCTGCCTCCAATCCCGACACAGTTTGAGGGAGGGTATTGGCACAACTCAGCATCTCGGCGTGAATTGTGGGACTCAAATGAGTGATAAGGTTGAACATTTCTATCGGAGAGATGAGGTTGGAAACTCCCACAATTCATGCTACAATAGTGGAGAGACGTTGAAGGATGAAGGAGTATCAATGGCAACAACTTCATCCCGAAATGGTAGTTCGACTAGTTAAGGAAATCTCAACAAATTGATTGAGCAAATCTCGGATTCAAGCAGAGCACGTGTTGGAGTAGGAGTATCCTCACAGAGCATATCTCGGATTTTATGCTACCCGTTATACGGACTCTATGTAATCTGTTTTTTTGTATTTAAATAGAGGATGTGGTCCTCAGTATAAAACTGTGAAAAAAAAAAAGAAGAAATCATAATCTCTAGTTGTGTTCACGAATACAAAAGAAACTTTGTTCATTTCATCCTTTTTTACAATTTCTCTTCTAGAGGATTATACCACACAAAAAACCCACAAACACCATTTCACTGTATATCCAACAAATTGGTTCAATAATATTATATTAACTTTCATATAATATTACCTCATTTCTCTCACATCCAAGGAATATTCTCTTGGATTTAGATCTGTCCAAGAAGTAAACATTCGACTTCTTTTTCCACAGCTGCAATAAGTGTGATCCATATGGAGCTTGTTCAACAATTTAGCTTCCTTTATATTGGACTAAAAACAGATTTTAGCAATTAAAATTTAATTTTTGGTCGACTTTGAGCTTAAATTAAAGTAGGACCCGCTCATTTTTTTCGACTAAACTTTTGTGGGTTCGTGTTCTACTCCGTGAGAAAAATAATATAGTATATTCACTTGCTCAAATCGAATAATAAATGAATAAAACATGTTTTAAAATGACCCTCTTGAAATGTGAAAATAGAAGTTGTGAAATGTGGGATTTGACACTAATCCCACATTGGTTGAAGAAAAAGTTCAATATGACCTATATAGGCCAAATTTGCTCTATGAAATTGGGCTCCAAGGGGTACCACAATTTTATGAGTAAAATGAGCCCCTACATGTCTTTGATTCAACCATACATACGTACACGCGTCGATCACCTCACCACGACCACAACCCCACCCAACAAGGCCGGGCGTAGCTGTGGTTTAGACTAAGCCTTATTTTTTTGGAGAAAATTTGTTTAATGAATTGGGCGAGAATTTCTTAACCAGAATTTAATTTTGGTACTCATTGGATTTAAAATTCGCACTGGTTCCAATTCCAGTTCCGAATTTTATTTGTGTCAGTTCATAAATGAATAGTTAATCAATGATGTCTTCTGGCTGCATGTGTCTGTTAGGTTGCATTCATTCCATATGGTGACTATCTAGATCAGTCACGATTCTCTCTATAAATAACTCAGTTATATAATCATTTTGCATTCAATAAATTCGTAGTCATTAAGACAGTCTTATATATCATTAACAGTCTGCATTTGAAGAATACACAATATAATTTGTGGTTCGCTAGACGATTAAATTGGAGTGCTATTTCTATTCACGAGAAGATCATTATATCTTGGGAGGCAAACGCTTTGATTTTCATAAGCCTCAAGTGTGGAAGCGAAATCTGTCTTAAGGATATAGTGTCAAACAGTAGCCTTAATCTATTTAAAGTTCAATAACAGTTCCTATTCTACAAACGAGTTAGTTTATTCATTGTTTAAATTATAGATTTATTGTGTTACTATTTTGTTCGTATTTGTTACTATTTCGTACATGTAATTGTTTCGTCTTTGACTATTATTGTTTTGGTTTATATTACATGTTTTAAATCAAAAATTTTAATAAGTAATTTTATTATATTTGAAATACCACAAACAACACTTCCTTCTGTTAGTGAGCTTGGTTCACCCCACCAAAGTTTCTTCCTCTGTTTTGCTCTATTAGGAATTAGGGTTCATCAGACATATATATCATCTGGGAGGGAGTGGCCAGATGGGTGGGAAAATAAATGAAAAAGACAGAGATGTCCCTCTGTCAAGTACATGTGTTGTTTTCCGTCATCAATTTGGATAGTAATTAGGGCAAGGGACAACGTTGGTCAAATGTGTTAAGATTGAGGATTAAATTGACTAAATTAATATTTTGGGGACAAAAGTTTAATAAGTGCTAAACTTGGGCCATTGGTGAAATTTACCCAATTAAAGAAAACAAGTGATATTAGTATTAATAATTATTCAAGGGCGGCCAACCCAACTAGCGGCTAAGGCAAAAATATTACGTAGGGCCCTAGTAATATTTATTTAATAATAATATTAGTATTAAATAGTTATCAAAATATTAAAATATATTTATTTAAAAATTATTATTATTATTTTTTTAGAGATACAACATTCTAATTAAAATTTAAATATTACAAATAAAAATTATGTTAACCGTACTCAAATTTGGAGATCAAATGTAAATGATACATGCTATTTGTTGAAGATAAAAAAATAATTAAAAATTAGTTTAACTAGTAAGACAACTATGGTTGTATTACTTTTACTCATCCTATTTTATAGCTATTTTATTCATTATAAACAAATTGATAAAAATTTTATTTTGAAAGAGGTTCTAAAAATTTTATGATAATATTATTTGCACTTGATTTGAGGTTTAAATACATTAGATAAATAATATATTAAATTTAAAATTATCACTCCCTGTTAATTCAATTGTTAAAATGCATTAAATATTTAAATTATATCCCAACATTTAGTGGCCGACACTTCCCATGCAGATTAATGTATGTGCTTGGCCTACTAATAATTTCACTTTTGGCGACTTGTTTGGATTTCTTACAACTTTCAGCTCCATGAAAGCACAATTGTCACGTCTTCTTCCGCAAAATAACAATCTATCAAATGCCTCCAATAGTTACTTTAAATAATTACTCATAAACTTCCTTTAACCATTATTTACTAACCTAATTATTCATAATCATGTGATTGACAGTAGATTCCATTTTTTATTGTGATCCACTGTAATGAATTAGGTCAATAAATTATGTCAGCAAATTAGGTTCAAATAATATTTTTCTTTTATTAAATATTAAATTTTGTATTTCCTACTATATTGTTGCTAACCGATAAAATAATAAGTGAAAAAGAATAAATGGTGAAGAATAAGAATGAGAAGATAACTTATTATAATAAAGTAGAACGATATTTGAATCCTTAAAGTTATCTCATCAATTAAAATCATTAGGTAGTGTATATCGATTTTCTGATACTTGAACTGCTATAAAAAAAATAAAAAAATAAAAAGAACTCCTGATGTTCACTTATAAATAAAGTGGCAACCTCCATTCCTTCATTGCAAGCTTTGGTTTCACTTCCTGAATAATTTCCTTTAATATCACAGCTCTGATAGCTCAATGGAGTTCAGAATTACACCCATCTTCACATTTCTCTCTGTGAGTATAAAATCTTCCACAATCCCAGGAACTAAATACGCATTCTTCTACAGTGTGTGTGTGTGTTCTGGGTAATATATATTCACTAGTTCCATTATTCATATATAAAATTTAATATGATGTTATCTTTATTATTATTATTATTATTATTTTCAGTTGGCCCTGGTCCTGGTGACTAGCTTTGCTTCTTTACCTTCTGATCCAGAGGCTTATTGGAAGTCTGTGCTGCCCAACACTCCCATGCCAAAAGCAGTTAAAGATCTTCTACACCCTGGTTGGTCTAGAATCCAAAAAACTCCCCTCCCCAAATCCATTTCTAAATTACTTCATGGGTTTTACTCTGTTGATTCTTAAAAAAACATGGTAAAATTCACTAATCTAAGATTCTTGTATAAATTCAGCTTTTGAGTGCTTGTGGCTGAGCTTCCCTTTTTGCTTTCTTGTTTTTTTTTGTATATGCTTTTTTTTCGCGGGGGGGTCTTTGCTATGTCACTAGAATTCTTTAGAAAATTTTCTTCTTTTTTGCACAAACTGGGCTCAAACATACAAGAAGGAACCTTTTTTTTTTATATAGACAAGAAGGAACCTTAAGCTTTTCTTATTTACCTTTAAACACTGATGATTTGAGACAAAATTAGATAATAACAATACTTTCTCAGATATTTGGAAAGAGAGGAGGTGTGGGAAGGATTCTTACAATTCACTCACTTTGGAGCATCCATAATAACAAGAATATGTTTTTTTTTCTGGACTTTTACGATAACAAGAATAGAAAAGTTGATTTATATAATTTCTACACCTAATAGTAACAAGTTAATGAAGCATTCAAGACCTCCTTTGATGTCATGGTTGTAGTATCGGCCGATATAAACTGACTCTATACTCTGTAGAATCGTATACGACTTGCACTTTTCATTTCAAAGAACCATAAACATTTTTGAGTAAACCAAAATTTTCACTGAACTCAGAGACATCCAAATGGACTTGGCTGAGTCCGAATTATCTTCAGTGAATTGCATAAAATCGATCAATACCATTGTATAGCGCTGCAATATGATTTGAACTCTTGTCATGTCTAACTTCATCTTTCATCTAAGTATTTTGTGTGTATCGTTCCATGAGGCAACTCACGTGTCTTAGTACCTTCCTGGTCAATACGGCATTGAACAATGTCTAATCTGGAGCATGATAAAAGGAAATAGAGAAGCCTCTCTAATAATTTGTACATGTTTAAATACAAAAGCTTAAGTTTCATCATCTCTGACAAATTAAGTGTTTCGAGTAGTTAATGCTTTAACATGGTACTTGCTTTGAACTAGCACTCTAGTGTCTCCAAAATAATTGTACCCGAGGAACGACACGGCCAGCTCTTTAGCTGTGAGTAGTTCTAATTCCTGATGTTGCTGTTCTGCAGAATGGATGGAAGACAAAAACACTGTTGTTAAGGTAGGGAAGGATGCTGTAGACATAGATCATGATCTCTCGGTTGCTCCAGGGAATGCATACGAAGCTGGTGCAACAATGGACCAACTCCATCAACTTGAAAATTTTACTGTTTACTTTCTAGAGAATGACATGAAGGAAGGCACAAAGATGAACTTGCAGTTCACCAAAGCTACAATTGAATCTGCTTTCTTGCCTCGCCCGATTGCTGAATCGATCCCTTTTGCATCCAAAGAATTGCCTGAAATTTTCAAGAAATTTTTGGTGACTCCCAAATCAGTGGAAGGTAAAACAATGAAGAAGACAATAAAAAAGTGTGAGAAGCCTGGTACTAAAGCAGAGTATTGTGCCACTTCTTTAGAAGAAATGATTGATTTCAGCACTTCAAAGCTGGGAAAAAGAGTTAAAGCCATGTCCACAGAGGTGGAAAATGAAACTCAGCTGCAGAAGTTTAGCATTACCGGTAGGGTTGGCAATTTTAAATACGATTCGTGAACCTGAACCGATATGCATAATTGACAATTTAGGATTCAAATAGTAAACAGGTGAACGCACCAAAAATGGTGCTAATGCAAAGTCAACTATGCATGACAAAAACTGGGTTAAATACAAGTTTTATAGGACACGAACCTGACACAACAAAATTGACTATCAAAGGCTTTAAATGAATTCTATATGGTTTAAACAAATTTCGGCACAATATCTTGCAATTAATGGGTTTAAGTTTAATCTTAACATATTTGATGGTAAACAGATAGACCTACTAGACGTGTCAAATCAATAGGTTGACACAAACCTAAATAAATATGAGATGAACTCAACACGACAATTCAACTATACACAATTTCAGATGAAATGGATAATAATTTATCAAATTTTGATATAACACGATTTAAATGGTTTAGAAGGAGAAATGACATGACACCACTTTGACTGTCCTTATTGCAGGGGTGAAGAAGATGGCAGGCGAAGAGACCGTTGTGTGCCACAAGCTGCCCTATGCATATGCAGTGTTTTACTGCCACAAAATAAGCAACACCAAAGCTTATAAGGTTTCCTTGGAGGGTGCCGACGGTACGAAGGCTAAAGCAGTAGGAGTGTGCCATTTCGATACTTCAGCTTGGAACCCAAAGCATTTTGCATTTCAAGCGCTCAAGGTTGAACCAGGAATTGTTCCAATTTGCCATTTGTTTGGTGAAGAAGACATTGTCTGGGTTCCCAAGGTGTGAGCGAAAAAAACTAGAAAAATCGTTCATCTGGTGCGGTTTGGACTCATGATGCAACGTCTTAGAGTCTCTTAATAGTTAATCTTCTGTCCAATATGTAAGAGTACTGATGCTTTTGTATGTGTGTACGTGTGTATGTGTATTGCATTAAATAAATGAGGATGATATGATGCATCTTGTCATTCTGAAGAAAATTGTTTGTTGCTGTTTGGATGTGAAAATAGCACGGAAGTTTCATTCCATAATTTTTTTTTTCCTTTATCTGGCAAGATATTAATCCATAGAAATATGCAAGGATCACTTTATAGCAGTCAGGCATAATCAACAAAGTCCAGTCCTTCACATAAGTGTGCTAATCGAGCTAAGCAAACCAAGCTGAGGCTTGGCTCGAAAGAGTGTTCAAGCTCGGCTCCGGCTTGGACGCCAAGGCCAAATTATTGCTCAAGCTTGACTTTGTACAAACTTGAGCCAAGCCCGAGCCAAAAAGGAGCTGTGAAATAATTCTCAAATCTATAATGAACAACACTTTCAAGAGTACATTTTTGCCGATAAAACCAACCATACATTATTCGAGTCGTGAAGGACAAGTGTGATATACTTTTGTGTGCTACACTTCAAATTAAACTTTGCCAATATTTTTTAATTATTAGTTGATGTATACGTGCGTTGCACGTGCACCATTTTTACTTGTATTGAGTATTAATTCATGTATGTAATTAAGGTATCTTCATATATAATTAAACTCAACAAAAATGTAAAAAAACATAGTTAAGCAAAAATAACCTTATAGTATTAGGAAATTCTGGAAAAAAATAGAAGAAAGGTTACACCTACTAATCAAATCAGTTAGAAATCTTCATGTATGTATCATTCTATTGAAATGTTTATTTATTAGAATTTGAAATAATCAAATGTACAATGCAGGGAACTGATAGATACAATTTCTCAGCTTTGGTCTCTTTTGGCTTATAAAAACTGATAAAATTCAATCATTATATAGAACTTAAAAAGAGTTAGAAAATGAGTGTCTTTAGCCACTCCACTTATATATGCCTTTGTTTGTTTTTAGCATATTGAAGGGATCATAGGAAATTTTTCTACCACATTTGTTCAAAGTTTGTATCTCATTAAATGTCATCATAAGTTGCCAAAAAATAACTATTGAAATCTCAGCATTGATTCCATAATTTTTTCTAAGATGAAAAAGAGAAAACAATATTTTATGTACTCACTCGATCGAGAGAAATGACCAAGAGATATAAGATCAAGAGAATTTGGAGAGTCTCTGTCCAAAAATAATCCTACTATCTTTGCCCTTCCAAGATAGCACAACACCACAAAGCAATTAATTTTCATGTAGGGACAGTTGACACAAAATTCAATAGTTTAAGTCATCTATCTTTCAACAGATGTAGAAATGATAATGAAGATCTTGGTTTTGAAATTTAAGCTTTCAACACCATTAGCTGAGTAATTTCATTATATCATTTTGCAAACTAATAGTTGTGGAAAATAATTTGCTTATCTAGAATTATTTGGGGTCCGTAGCATCAAGAGTGGCGTTTGGGAAATGGTTTATGAATTTGGAAGGTAAAATTGGTGAACAAGGATAGGAATTCAACGGTATTGCTTTTGTAGGCCCTCAAAGATAAATAATCAAGCACACAAGAATCACAAAAAGAATTGATCAAGATCCAAGAAAGAAATGAAACAAAATCACAATAAAACGTAAAAGCTAAGAATGCAATAAATTGAAACACACAAATGATTCCAAAGAGGTCTACCATAAAGGAAAACAAAACTTTTGTATTGACGAAGATGATCTATGACTATAGCAACAAGAAGGGGTAACTTGACTTTGGAGTAAATTTTTTATACATTTAGTTTTTTTTTTTTTTTAACTTTTGATTTTTGATTTTATAATATTATAGGTTAAATCATGAGCCCAAATTATTGAAATTAAAATTTTTGATTGAACTTAAATTTTTTGAGGCCTTTTTATAGGACTTAAAATTTTTGTAGAGTTAAATTTTTGATCTGGGTTAATTATATAACTCAAATTGTGAGACATTCTCAAATTATGGGCCTAAAGTCCAAACTTTTTCTACAATGAGGTTGGGCCGGCCCTGAGAGGACATGGCCTCCTTGACCACAATGTGGCTCCATCAATGGATAAATTGAGGGCAACAATCACAACCAAAGCATTTACAAAATAATTATATTTAGAGAATAACCTATGCAAACTATATAATGGATAATTTTTAGCAAAACTAAATAATTTATTGCATAATAAAAAATTTATTTTCCTTCTGAGACAAAATTTATATCTATACTACTTATAAAGATTAACATCCGTGAAAAAATTTTAATTTTAAATTTTATTCCTAATTATTATTATAAATTCAAATATACCCATATATTTATTTTCATTCATTTGTTATGTTTTATACCTATTTGACTTCTGAGTTCTTTTAGACTCTTTTTGTAGGAGTATTTGACTTCTAACTTCTTTTAGACTCATTTATTATTAGTACACTTACATACAAGTTTTTATATTTATGTCTTTATTTATATGAAGAAGTACAATTTATATTCTCTTATTATATACATGTAGTTGTCCAATTAGGTTTTATGACCAAATATACATTATATTTGATTTTTGGTACTCGGCAATATCTTAATATTATCATACAAATAATATTAATTTATAATATAATTAGATGTACAAATACTTAAGAATGCCAATATTAAGCTGATGAAACTCTATTATAAACAATAGAAGAAATGTCTAAACGGGCCGAGTAGATACTTAAAAAAAGGGGAAATTGGAAGGAGATACACAAAATTAGACTTAATTGTAAAAAGGTACACAGAAAAAAATGTTGGGTAATTAAATCCTTAATTTTAATACTTATTTGTATCTAACTACATTATTTGAATTTTATTAATTTTTTTGTGACATTTTTGCCCTTCATTAATCCATATGTTTTTTCTTTGAAAAGTGGTGCATTAAACATCTTCTGATTTTATGAGAAAACTTATATATATATATATATATATATATATATATATATAAAATAAGCTTTTGGGTTTGCTCCGAGTCAGTTGCGTTGGGATGAGTTGGTTAAGTTTGTGAGTTCTCTTAGAGTCTTGGTTCCTCGGCCTCGACCTCTTCGCTTGGTTGCTTGGTCTCATCCTGTAGCAGGTTGCCTGAAGATCAGCATTGACTGCTGTTCTAAAGGTAATCTCAGGCTTTCTGCGGCAGGGGGTGTTATTCAGAACCACCAGGGTTGGGTACTCAGGGCTTTTGGCTTGTTTCTAGGCCATCAGTCTATTCTGTATGCGAAGTTGCAGGCTATTTGTGCTGGGTTGGAGTTGGCTACAGATTTGAGAGCTTCAGAATTGGAAGTGGAGTCAGATTCAGCTATAGTGGTTTCTTGGGTCTCTTCTCAGGGTATTGGGTGCTGAGTTTATGCTTATTTGCTTGCTCAGATTAGGCTTTTGTGTGCTTCTCTCTCGGCTCGCGTTTGCCATGTCTTGCGGGAGGCGAATCAGGCTGCAGACTTCATGGCTAATTGGGCATGCTCTTAGTACCTCAATCAGCAATTTCTTGATTCGTCATCCTTTCCTTCTGGGATTGTTGGCATCCTCGCCTTGGATGCTCGACAAACTCCTCACGTTCGTCGTTGATTTTTTATTTTCATTGATGTTTTCAGTTATTTTGTTCTATGGGGGATTCCCCACTTTGCTTTTCTATTTATTTATTTTTCCTGCTTTTGGTGGTGAGTCACGACCTTATTTTTGCTTTGACTTTCTTCCACTTATGGAGGCTTAGCCATATGTCCTCCTCCCTTGTACTTTTTTTCTTTTAGTTATATATATACAGGTAGAGGTCCTGTCAAACATCTCACCCACACTAGGTGGCTTTGACAAAAAAAAAAAAAATACTTGTTAAATCTTTTATCTAAATTTTGAATTATTTTTAATGTACCTTGATTCATGCTTATTTTTTTTAAAAAAAAAGTGATTTTTTTTTTTAAATTATCCTTGATTTATGCGTTTTTCTTTAGAAAGTAATTTTATTTTTTAAATTAATTTAATATCCGAATAGTGTAATAGTATAGTAATAAAAATTTAACAGTATAATAATAACAGTATAACAAACTATTTACACAAAATATTGTACTATTATATTTTGTCAAACATATAGTTTCATTCAAAATAGTTCATCTCCTTTTTGAATTTATTATTATGTGCACAAACTAGCGAACACTGTTTTTGTTATAGTGTATTTGTTACATTGTCTTTGTTACAGTGTATTTGTTACACTGTTATGGTCACACTATTATACTATTTGGATATTAAATAAATTAATTTGAAAACAAAATCACTTTCTGAAAAACAATATGCATGAATCAATGTGCATTAAAGATAATTCAAAATTTAGATAAGAGATTTAACAACAAAATATATATATATATATATATATATATATATATATATATATATATATAATATATATATATATATATATATATATATATATATATATATATATATATATATATATATATATATATATATATATATATATATATATATATATTAACAAACACACATGAATCAAGATGCATTAAAGATAAGAGATTTTGAATTAAATGACCCTAAAATGAGAATTTATGTCTTTGTAACTCAGCTGTGTACTTTTTTTTAAAACATTTTGTTCTATGTATTTTTTGTCAAATAAGTCTAATTAGGTGCAGCGGCTTCCAAAGAACCCTTAAAATTTTTTTTGATTTTCTATTTTATCTTTAATTATTATTATAAAGTAAAATATGCCCATATATTTATTTTCATCCATTTGTTATTTTTTATACCTATTTGACTTCCAAGTTTTTTTGGACTTTCTTATAGGAATATTTGAATTTTAACTTCTTTTGGACTCATTTATTAATAGTACACTTATAAATAATTTTTTATATTTATGTTTATATTTATATGAAGAAGTAAAATACAATTTAATTATATTCTATTATTATATATGGGTTTTACAGTCAAAGGTATGTTATATTTAATTTTTTGGTATGTAACAATATCATAATATTATCATACGAATAATTCATTTAGACGTATAAATTCAAGATTGACGATATTATAATGATGAAACTCTATTATAAA